AGCGTTGAGGAAAAGTAAGCCGTCGTCTTCACAGAGTTTTCCGGACGTAATGTTTACTGTCTTGCAATTACAATACCTGTGCTAAGTTATTGGATCATTCGTAGCACTCCATGTAGCTTTTCTTTGTTGTGAGAACCCAGCTTTATGCCATCCATGTATATGTAATGTAATGGCTAATGTAAATTTTGATGTTCTTACTTTCTTATCCGGTATCCGAAGTCATTTACTATCTTGGTTAGATACCTGGAAACGTTGTTCAATTCTAAGCGTAGTTCAATTCTAGTGGATTCTATGCATCGAGCTAGTATATCGCTCTTTGGATTGAAATTATTTGCTTTGTTTAAATGATTTGCTTGCAAATAGGTCTATGGAAAGTTTTAAGTGAAAACTTGGCTTAATTGCAATCAAATTAACAAAACAATCTAAACAAACAGCCATCAACGTATGTAAAATACTTTTTAATAGTTCTTTTACATTTTTATGACAAATTTGTTGTTGTTTTTTTTTTCTTAACCTTTTTTTTATGCTTCACTTTAGAAGAGATTTTCCTTTTTTTTCTTTCTTCTCTGCGTTTCTTAAGAGTACAGCGTGCATGTTATGCATAATAGCGCTAATGCATTGTCTCCTTCCATTATTGTTCGTGTCGTGGTGGAAATCATTACTAATGTTTGTCATTTCTAGTTCTGATTGAAAGAGTCATTGATCTTCCTGATAGGGATAAAGATTCTCTAAAAGGAAAAATTGATTTTAAAAAAATTTGTAAAAATACTATAATTACTATAATAAAAATATTGCGTCGGCAATCTTTAATCTTCAATCGTAAACATTGATTTCATCTATATATGGTTAAGTGGTGTGGCTTTAAGTAGTTGCTACAACGTAAGAGGCAGACAAGGGCAATAAAGACATACATGCAGACAGAGAGTGTGTGAGAGAGAGAGAGAGAGAGAGAAAGGGAGAAAGAAAGAGATGAAAAAGTTAAAAGAAAAAATGATTCACTTAATGCAGTGTTTGTGTTTTAAACTAGTTTATTTGTATTTTATTTAAATTATATTAATTTGTTTCATGTATTTATTGTAAGTCACCAACACGCACTTTCCTTCTTTTGTTTTTTTTTTTCCATTTCCGAATACACAATGGGAAAGACGCGATATGCTAAGTTTGTTCTTACGTTTGTAAACAATAAGAAAATGGTTATATATAAGTAATGTAAAGAATGGTTAAATTTTTTACTACAATTATTATTTAGGCGGGTACTCGATGTGTTAATAAGTACTGATCGTATTTTCTAATACCCTTTTTTTCGAATCCTATCCGTACTTATGTTAATTATGAAGGCAAGTAAAAACACTAATTGGTAACAGCCCAGCATTAAATACTCTACATCATTCTACAGTTATTCATATAACGAGTGGGATAGGGTCGAAAAAGTGGTCCGATCCGAACCATTTTCAATAATGTTCTTCCGTCAGTGTGCCAAATTCCATCAAAATTGCGATCTGTTATTGAAAAACAAGTCGGGCAGACGGACGGACAAGCTTCAATCATTCCAAAATAAGTCAATCAAGCTTAGATCATTTCAGAAATATTATTATTATTATTATTATTAATTTCGCCAGAGAAATAAATTCTAAGACTAAACTCTTAAAAGCACTAGCATCTAAGGCTATCGGCCTTTATTAAAAACTCTACCGCACTTGAGATTCGAACCCACGACCACTGAGTTGCTAGTCGAGACTCTTGCCTACTCGGCCACCCAGGCGGATCATTTCAGAAATAAAACGCAACTTCGTCTCGAGTCCGCCTCGGTGTCGCATATATCCCCACAACCCTCATACGCCCTTGTACCACAAGTGGTATAACATCTTCGAAGTCTTTGTGCAAGAGACAGGGAACATACTTTGCTGGAGCCGTTGAGCAGATTATAGAATAAAATCTCCGTTAATAGTAGATTGGTTAGTATTGAGGTTAGATGCGATTTCTTTCTTTAATCGCCTAAAGCATCCAAGCACTCGCAGGGATAAAAATGCTTAATCAGAGATATTTTACTCAAACCTGCCTGCCTCTCGGTTTATGTCTTCGTCGAAAACGCTTTGACGGTGTTAAAGCCTTGTCTCCAATGCATACTAGATTTCGAAGATTTTTTTTTATTCCATCCGTGAGTTAAAAACGATTCCTAGGATCGCATGAGTTGAGTTGGTAAACATACATGTATGAGTGGGCAAGTAAATAAAAATATGTCATTTTAAACATATATAGCAAGAAAAAATGATGCAGGATAGGATATATATATAGCTATTACCGTTTTATTCGCAACCCAAATATCCAACAACGAGTCGCTAATAAGAAATACAATACAAGCCGAATATAGCTTCTTTTGATTATTCTCTTGTAAAACGTAACAACATCAGTATAGCACGACCTAGTAGAAAATTTCCGAGATTCATCTGATCATCTCCCTATTGAAATCTTAAAATATCTAACACTTCGTATGAATGGTTAAAAAAACTTATGAAAAATATGCCCAAGGATCTTTGCCAAAAGTATTCGCGCAAAGCAAATCGTAACAGGTGTAGAAATAATACCTCATCGGCTTTTCTAAGAGATAGCTTTTACTTTGCTTGTAATCCTTAGAAAAATTGTGACTTCTCCATGCGAAAATGTTACTGTTAAACTTTAGCCAAGGGTATATCTGATCCCGCTGAAGTATACGAAACGTTCTTTTTCGTAAGACCGCATATAGTTGATGTTTTTGCCAAAAAAGATAGTCATACAGGCGAAAAGAATAGGCATACTACATACTGGCGACAGAGGTGAACGCCCGTGCCTCCCTATTGGAGCTAAGTTAACTATAGGTTATTGTCATCTGTTCCAAGGCTTTAAGCTTTACTCTCTGCAATGTAACAAAATCTAGACTGCGTTGACTTTTCAGCCAAATATAGGAAAACTTAAGAAAGTTCATCAGCCCTGAACTAGAATGTGTTACCCTCTCCAAGCATTCACGGTATGTTACGCATTCTACATAACATAAGTTTCAATCGATTACTCATGTTTGTTTGAGCAGAGCTTCAGTTCTTATGACAATATTCGAAAAAATGAAACCTTTTTGGGGGTATCCTCGGAACCAGAACTTGTCGTATTGGCACGGTATGCATGGAAAAAATCTATAGCTCTAATGGCAGGCAATAAAATATATTTTACCTAACCTCTTCAAATCAAGGCCTTTTTCCGAAAAATGGAATAAGTAATTACACACTACACACTTACATTACAGGTGATAGTATCTAACGTCTATAGATCGCGAATGAAGGCTAGTATATGTCGACCCTAAAGGGCATTAAAGATGCCGTACATGCTACTTGAGTTATTTTCCGATTCAATCTTCATCTGGTCATTCCTCGTCTCGTTATCGTATGTCACAATTGTCCGCACGGCTGTCTCCCTATTTCTCGATAGCTGCCGCCGTATGATAGTCCCTACACGTGTGTGTCACCCCATACGTCTGGCACTCCTCATATCTGTCGCTCCACAAGTCTGGCGTTCACTGTCACTCCGTAAGCCTATCGCTCCGTATGTTTTGTCATTTCGTATGTCTGCCACCCCTTATATCTGTCGCTCCGTATGCCTGCTGCTTCCTATGTCTGTCATTCTGCATGTGTGTAACTCGGCATGTTTCTCCGTGCGCATGTCTGTCATTCTGCGTGTTTGTCCATCCGTATGTGCGCCACTCCGTATGTCGGTCGCTCCTTTTGTCTGCCAGTCCATATGTCCGGCACCCCTTATATCTGTCGCTCCGTATATTTGGCGTTCAGAGTGTCTGTCATTTAATGCGTCTCCTACATAGTATGCCAGTCACTCCGTGTGCTTGCCATTCCGTGTGTTTGTGCCTATGCCTTTCACTCAGCTTATGTGTCCCTCCATGTGTCCGTTTCCCTCTATGCCTGTCTCTCTTATGTACACAAATCGTTGTGTGTCGGATAATTTGTGCTCTTACCTATCCGCGTGTCTTTCAATCAGTGCTTTTCTTTCCGTCATTCCGGATGTCTGTCTGTTTATTTATCGCTTGTCATTGACTATCGAGACTTCGGACTTATCGCCAAAACTAGGCAAAATTGAAGCTTTATAGGTGATATTAATTTATATCTTAACAGGAATGTATCTAACGCGCATATGAAAGCTCGATATGAAACTTGACTGTTTGGGTAACTGACATACCTTTCAAATATGTATATTTTATACTAAGGTGGTAGGTATCAAAGATTCGCCTGAAGGCGATTATAATTTTTTGACTCGTTTTTCCTTCTCTTTCAATTGTCACCGTTGCCTTGTCCTGAGTACAAATTGTATGCATTTACCTGTGTATTGAAGGCATTTTATTATATGAGTTTTGTATTTTTGCATTCGTTGTCTCTGTTCAACGCCCAAATATTACAATTACGTTGACACAAACACCAACACACTCTCTCGTCATACCTTCTTTTCTTCTTTCTCGTTTCATTGATGAAATTGAATTTTCGTGTCCACACTTCAGATTATTGTTATTGTTGTTGTTGTTGTTATTGTTGTTTTTTAAGCACTGGCACTCTTAAAACTCTTAAAACAACGACAACAACGACGAACAACAACAACAATAACAAAATGAATCAATGCCCTGTTGTGGATTTCCTCACCTCAAACGATTTCTGGATTAAGATTTTTTGTGTTTAGTTTACTTTAGTATCATAACTGGCCTCAGTGAAGTTAGTTCGTCTGTGTTTACCTGTGTTTTCCCTTCAATTTTCGTTCGAAACCAATGGTATCATAATAATGTTGTTACCGCATAAAATATTTCGATATCAAAATTTATTTCTTTTAATTTTGTGCTCAGTAAATATTATAATATACGATGTGCGTGTGTATGTGTGCGCGTAAATTTATAAAAATATTTTTTGTGAAAAGAAAACTTAAAATATTAAAATGGTTGCAATAAAATAAATTAAAGTTTGTGGTTTTTTTTTTGATATTTTTTTTTTTCTTTTTTTTTTTTAAATAACATTATCTGTCATAACTCGCAATATGGGAGTTTTTCTTATGGACAAGGAAGTAAGTCAAGTTTGATTGAAAAATTCCATGCATTTAATAAATTAAAAGTAAAGATATAAGCAAATTAAATATGGTTTATAAAATTAAGAACACAAACATTATCGGATATCGCCTAACAAGATTTATAATATTTATCAGATAAACTCAATGGATTGCAAATTATTTCCTTTAAGAAACTAAAAACTGAACTAAAATTCGCAAAAATTCCAATTGCAATGTAATGTAAGGCAAAGGAGAGCGGAAATCGGGAGGAAAGGGGAGTTGCCCGTATGTCGGGGAAGGTTCGGAACGCTCTGTTCTCTCCTTAATCGGACCGGAATATTAATTATCGATTATTTCCCTCTCAAATGCCGATGAATGTCGACTAAAGCGTTGCTAATGATATGTCTATCAAAACTAAAGGCCAGTTGAGAGTCAACAAACGTTAAGAATTTATTAGGGAAACGATCACGGCGAAGAAAAAACTTTCGCAAAGGAAATACTGTAAATTGCTTCTTTACGTTTCACACTAGTTAGACTAAGTTGGGCTTGCAATGCCAATTTTGAGGTTATGTATGGGCTGTGCAGTTTTCAAACGATTATTGTCCTTGTAGTTGCAATGATTTCTTGGACAAACGAATTGTCATTCGGCGATGAAAATCCTCAGAAGAAAAATTTCCTAAACTACTCCTGATATGTACCTTAACTTACATACGTGAAATTGATAGTGAGGTTATGTCTAGCTGCTCATGGGTGAAACTTTCCAGAAGAATCCGCCCCTGATATGTGCTTTTACTTACATTGGTGAAATTGATATTGAGGTTATGTCTAACATCTCTGAAGTGAAAGCTTTCAATAGAAACCACTACCGATGTTTACCTTAACTTACATATGTGAAATTGATAGTGAGGTTAT